TGGCTGTAGAAAAAAACATGCTCTAGGTCTTTATTCAGAAGTTTTTGTATGTTGACATACACATAGGCAATGCAATAGATGACAATCTTTACTTGGATAACACAAATCACCCCTATCAGACGCTGTTATTAACGTTTTAAAAAAAGAAAGCATAAATTCTTTATCATCTCCTTCACTTAAAAGGAATACTTTACAGTAGTCACATTTCAACATTTTTGTTAGTGCATAACCGCCATGTAGATAAGTAAAGGAATCTCATCACGTACAGATATCTCATAAATAACATCATCAACTGTACAATTCAATGCCAAAGTCTAGGGATTATCTGTGATATGATCGCCACTTTCAATAGTAAAAATTTCTGATACAACACACACATTTACATATATTGGAATTTCATCAAAAACAAGTGACTTAATGACAAGTGGAAGCAAATTTTGGATTCTAAGCTTGTCTTCAAACTCAAAAATTTTCCTGGCTAATATATGATACTATGATCCAGCTAGATGACGATATTTTCCAAATCAATCTTCCAGATAATCAGTTTGAACCTTCCCACATAGGAAATAATTATTGCCTTTCTTTGACAGTCAGTATTCTGACAGCTTCAGCAATGCTTGTGTACTGAGCTTTAAGGCAAGCTGTATCTCATTTGTTAATTAACCCAGATTTATGTGAAAATGTTTCCCATCAAGTTATTAAATCAATAATGTTAAGTCTATACACTGATACATAACTAAGATTTCCAATTATTTTGAATTAGTTAAACTTTCGCAACTTAAGTTTAGCTCACAGCAACAACACAACTCAAATGACATACACAATAGAACCAAACAATGGTCTTGACTCCATCCCCTACAAATACACCAATCAACTCGCTGCGTCATTCCGAATCTAGACACACGTGTAAGCAGACTTACTTGAAAAAATGCTGTACTACAACCCGCAAAATTCAAAACTAGCCAGTTTTCTGGCAATTCCACATTTCTGAAAGCCAGATATTTGGTACGGTACTGTAATTTTAATTGACTTCAGTCGTAAATACAAAACGTTTATAAATTTTTTTTAATTGTTAGATTAAAAAACGTTATGTAAACAAACGTGAAGTGAATATGGATACCAATGCAAGTAAACCAATGATAACTATTTTATTCGTTTTCCGAATTTTGATATACTGTACAGTAAATACATTTCACCCCCATAATCGACATTTATTCTCGGGATTCATAAAACTTTTCAAAGGACAGTTGAAAACTTCAGCAAAATCTGGAGAATTCATTAAAGGTACCAGAACTCTGAAAATAAAATGTTACAATATTAATAATTTAGTATTATTGTATATTTCTTTTATAGACTTATCCATAAATGAAAGTCTCTGCTAAAAATTGAATAATTAACGTTTGTGTTACTTTATGCAATTCAATGCTTGTTGTTTGTCTCCTGATTTTACTTTTAACCATAAAAAATTAACTTATTAATCTTACCTGTATTTTCCGGGACTATGCATATCTCTTTCGTAGGATTCTTTCATGGATTCGATAGCCTGACACCAAAGCTACGCATAAAATAAAATATTTATAAAATTTGTCTTTATTATTAATATTATTTATACTTTAAATTTTATTTTAATTATTATTGGTAAATCAAAATTCTAATGTTTTCATTAGTATATACTTATATTCCAGATGTTTTTCAGAATAACAATAAGATTTTTTTAAACAAAGATTATTTAAAAAAATATTAATTTATCGAAGCGGAAAGTTAGCGATAGAATCTTCAATATGGCTGGAATTTTTTTTCAAAATTTAATCGATCCATTTTGATAAAACTTTGCTATTTTTCATTAATCTACTTGAGGAATTCAAAACTGTAATAACAAATATTGGTCTATAACTTCGTTTGCAATCGGCGTCAATTGCTTTCTTCTTGAATCGCNTACAATGTTGTTCAATAAAGTAATCAATAAACTATGAAGTATCATTAAATCAGTGAAATTTAAAGTAGATTGGTAGGTATATCAATAAAGTGAAATATATTTTTTATTCTGTATTTTAATTTTTTTTTTTTTTGTAAAAAGTGGTCTGCTTAGTCTTCCTCTTCGGACGTCCTTTGGATTTAATTTGAGTTTTGAATTTTAAGCTTTTATTTGCTTGATTTGATCAGGGCTTGTTACTAGACGAAATTTGTTCTTCAGGTTCAATTGTACTAAGCCCACTATTCTCATGTTCAAAAAGAGAAATTCCATTTCTTGCATTGCTTTCTATTACTTTTAATTTCTCTACATATTTATTGACAGTTTGCATTCCATAATTAGACAAAATAGCTGCAATATTTTTAGTTATTGCCAGTGCCGTATTAAATTTTTCCCTATCCGGTAATATTTTGTTGGGACAATCAAAATCATCAATAAAAGTTTCATCGTTAATATGATCATCGATATCTACATTTACATCATCTGTATCCATATTTAGTGCATTTTCAATTAAAATAATATATCTTGCATAAAAGCAAGTTTTTGAAAATATGTCCAAATTATTATATTTTCTTATCATACAAATATGATGACATGGTGCACTAAAAGAATTCCAAAATGAACAAGAATATGTTTCCACCGATGTATTATAAAATTTTGATATTTTGCTATCAAGATTTTCCTCAATGCCATTATTTTTAATTCTCATTTTGATGATTTAATTCTCATTTCTCAATAATCGATATCATGATTAGGATATTGATAATTGATATCATAATTAGGATATTGATAATCGATATTTAGGATATCCTGAATTATAAACAATGTTAAAACTGTCATCTTTACGTCACGGCTTTAAAAGGGTTAAATAGCAAATTAAGTATATATGTTATCGCTAAAGCTCGAAATCCGTTAATGTGTACATTACCTAGCTAATCTGCAGATTAACTAGGGTGATCCGTTAAAGCTGCGAAAATTGTTCAATTTCTCAAATCACCTAGGTAATTTGCAGAGTATCTAGGTAATCTGCACATTAACGGCTTCCGTATCGTTAAAGTTCAAAAGTTTGTTTCTTTCACTTCCTTTCCCCACTCCTTCTTTTTACGTAGATAAATTTAAATCCTAGAATGCAAGCAAGCACCGAATTGGTGAGTAAAATCAAGAAAAGATTCTTCGCAAACCTCTTTAGCGAAGATTTAAAATATAATACGTAGTGTTTTAATAACAAACCAAAGTATGATTCCATAATTGAAGATGTAAAGCAAATAAAAGTTTCCAAGAAGAAAGAATCATCTCGAGATTATCAAATAATTCAAAGGTGTGATGTGTTGACTGTACGAGGCTGTGAAAAACTCATTGAGCCGTTGTCAGATGCGCGAGAAAGGTTTGAAAAAGTTTGTCCATGCCGGAGAATTGTTTGACATTCGATAAAAACTGAAGAAGACCTTGAAAAATTAGAAGATTCACAAGAGACTGTGATTATGAGATCACAGTCAAATCTTACTCAAGAGGACATTCCGTTATCCCCCGCTTCTACAGAATCACCTATAGAAATACAAGAATTTACCGATAGTAATCTTAAACTGCCTTCTATACCGTTGATTGATGATGCAGTCACGAAGAATATTCAGTTACCCTGCACCTCCAAGGAATCGCCTCTGCAAGTTGAAGAAGTCATCACTGAGTTACTCTCAACTTCAGCAGAATCGCCATCACAGTTTCGTACGGAGCCTGTAAAGAGCACTATACAAGACATAGTCTGTATTGTTTGCTCAAAAGCAGCATCAAGTGCTCACAAGTGTAAATCGTGTAATATGTTTGTTCACGCAGTTTGTGGTGAAGTAGATCCTAAAGAGGAAGGGTATGGTAAGAATGTATTGTGCATCATCTGTAAAAAGAATATGGATCAGAAAATACAGCGTGATGAAGCCAAGAAATGTTTAGAAAAGCAAGCAAAGAAAATGTTAGCAGTTTCTAATGCAAAGCACCCAAACGTCGATGAAGGTTTCGCTGTGAGAATTAAAGTACCCGAAGAAGACAGAGCAAAAACTGATGCACGTTCAATTTTAGCTGTGGTTCTTAGTAAAACAGAGGATGGCTTTTATAAACTTGATACTAAAACAGGTATTTTAAAACAATTGTATGCAAAATCTGAATTCAGTGTTTGCAAAGAGAGATTTTTAACGAAAGAAGATGGATGTCCCTGCTGTAGAAATATCTTTACGTCAAACAGCAATAAAACAATCCCTTGGTACTGGGCAGGGTTTCAGAAAATGTGACTGCAAATCTAAATGTACCACAAATAGGCGTGCTTGTCGCAAAAACCAATTGCTACGTAATTCAAAGTGTCACCAATCTTTAGATTGCACTAATAAGTAAGTACAATTTTATCATATGTTTTGCAAATTCATTTCCCTAATTGTAGTAATATTTTAAACCGTTTGATTTTTGTATTAAAGTTTTTTTAATTGATTGATGATTGATTCAATCAACTAATTTGTTGATTGTATTAACTTGATTCTTTAGATATTGAAAATTAAATAAATAACATTATGTTAATTTAAGCGTACAGAAACGTTGCTGTTGTTCCAGCAAAAATCTTATTTTCACTTTACCGAGTGCCTAGTAGGTAATTTGCAGATTACCTAGATAATCTGAACATTACCTAGGTAATTTGAGAAATGGAATAATTTTCGCAGCTTTAACGGATCACCCTAGTTAATCTGCAGATTAGCTAGGTAATGCGCACATTAACGGATTTCGAGCTTTAGCGGTAACATATATATATATATGTATAAATAGTCAATTGCATGTACATACTGTATGTATAAATAGCCACTTTGTTATTTCAAACTAACTGAATTCCTTTACTTGTAAATCTCTATATCCCTGGCTGAGACAAAAGTACAGTTACAAACTAACAAGATTTCAAATTATCTGAGTTTGAATTAACAAGGATTTCCTGTATTTAAAGAATATAAAAATAAATAACTTGATAAAATCATTATTAATTATTTTAATAATTTACCTGTGGATTTCTTAGAAATGTTTCTTCATTACTAATACAGCCACCAGCATTATCATACTTAGATCCTTTCACACCAGTTGTCCATCGACCATAAAGTGACATTTCATGCCAGCTTTTGCTAAAACTGAACCATGAAGTATTTACTAATAAACACATCGACAGATCAGTAAAATGAGTACAAAAATCTTCAAATGGCATCCTAAAATATAAACTTTACTATAAAATCTCATTAATTTATAATAGTCTTTTTATTTCAATTTACATGTATTAAAATTTAGCAACAAATATTCCTATAAAAAATTACCCAACTAACTTCAGAAAATTCTGCTAAATCAAACTTTAATTTTTGAATCTTGCTATACATTCCATATTCTTATATTTAAATAACTATTATATCCCATTATAAAATATTTAAAAAGTAACATTATACAATAAAACACTGAAGATTATTTTTATATATTGAAATTTATATATTTACAGACATTACAATTGAAATTGATATAATTATCAAACTCAATTGAAATGTCTGTAAATATATTTTTAATTAATATGATCAATATTGAATATCATCCAATATAAATTTAAAATGATATTAACTAAACTAAACAAAATATTAATATGTAGAGGCTTGAGAATTTACCTGTTTATGAAAATATAATTTAATGATACAATAATTATGTAATTTTTTTAATCAACTAATCAAATTTTCAAAATCTACATATGACAAACAGAAATCTTGTAAAATAAAATATAATACAATCTTGGTAAACTGACATATGAGCCGTTCACAGGCCAAATCGACTAACTCCATTTGCAAATCCTTAATATAATCATTATAATTTTCAAATTTTTCACGTAACTAATTTTATATATCACTATTATATTCAAGCTATGCTTTAATATAATGATATATAAAAATACATTCTGCAATGTTTAAAATTTCCTTTAAACTTTAAATTTAAATAAAAAATTTATATTATCAATTTTTATACTTTTTGTTTTGTGGAGTTAATTGAGTTGGCAAGTGAGCAGCTCATATATCAAACTAAAACAATGTAGGATTAACAAGACTGCAGGATTATTAGAAGTCACACATTTTGGTGAATTAATGATTTAAACACAATAAAAATGTGATTAAATATGAATACAGTTGACATGATGAAAACAATTGAGCAAAGACTATTTTGATAGCATGAAGTCAACTGTTAACAACACAATAAACTTAAATTGGTGGATTTCCACTAAATTTAATGGTAAACTGAAGTGACTAGGAAATTTAGTGAGTGGTACAGTATTTTTGGTGGAAAATTTTGGGAACAGATTTTTATACTTATACAGCATTATACCATTCCTCTACCAATTATTATAATTGGTAGAGGAATGGTAACTCGAGGTCTGAACACGAACAACAAAATGGCAAAAATGTTAAAAACTGCCCCAAATGATGGGAAATTGCCCTTTTTATATGCAAATTCCTCCAATCACAATCTGAGATCTATATCATGTGACAGGATGAACTGATGTGTCAAACAACCAGATGTTGGGAAAAATCAAGGTAAGCTTTAGTGAAAGAAAGTTTGATTTCCTCTTTTGCCATAAAAGTGAAAAAGTGTTGTCTTTTTGACAGAAAGTCAAAAATACAACACTTGTTGACTTGATTTAATATTTTATTAAATCAAGTCAACAAAATATTAATAAAATAAAAATTATGATTTTTGTTTTAAATTATGGGTGTGGGTTTATTTAATTTAAATATAATCAATTTTCATCATAAAAACACATTGCCTGTTTAGATCTCACATCACAAACTAAAAATCAAGTCACAAAACTGATAAATATCTGTAATGAGGGCTTATCACATCAACTAGTAACCAATTATGTAATTTTACATTTTTTTTTTTTTACTTTTTACCATCATACATGAAATAATTTCTTGCTAAAATGCATTTGATTTTAAAAAAACCTCTCTTCAGTTTAACAATTTTTGAGGATAATATGCAAACAATACACACACACACAGACCATTTATATAGCTAAGATTATATATTATATATACAGTCGACCCCCCCTATAATTACGTTCCCAATAATTACGATTCCTATAAAACTGCGAAAAAATTGTGACGGTATCCGTAAAAAAACAGTAAAAAAAACCCCTATAATTACGTTAAACGTCATCGGGCAGCCGAACTACTTTCCCGCCGTCTGTAGCGCCACGCTACGGAGAGATTTCTATCGTCTGGACAGTATTATATAAATTAGGTACTATACATATAATTATATATTAATTATATATAAATTAGGTACTGTATATATAATTATATATTAACTTATTGTAACTTTGTTATAATTAAATATATAATTTCCTGCCGTCTAGCGTGGCGCCACGCTACGGAGATTTTTACGCTAACTATGTCTGTACAGTATGTAAATTAGGTACCGTAAGTCTAATACAGTACTGTAATTTTATACATTTCTTGTGAAAGAAACATTTCTTATTCAACGGCGATAAAAATTATTTATATTAATGATGTCTCCGAAGTTCAATGAAGTTTTCGCAGAAAAATAAGTTATCAGAAATCAGTCGTGGTTTGGTGTGCTGCTTCGCGACGAAAACAAGCTTTAGCAATGGCGATGTCGAATAGTAAGTAATCCTACAATTTTTTGTTTATAGCATAGTTTATATGGATTATTTCCAAAAAATATACACGTATTTTGGAAATGTTGAGTCTGATTAGTCTAGAATCGATTAATTTTATGGAAGAAAACCTTTCAATCAGCCGTAGTCCATAAACTTTACACGTGTCGAACTGTGATTGGAACGACTCGTAAGAAATCAGATTCCTAAAAATGGAACGTATCTATGATCTTATAGGGGGATCAACTGTATAATATAAAACCATCAATTTGTAAACATTTATCATCAATATTCTACATTTTAAAATATCAATATTGTAAACATTTATTAGTTTTGTTTTGATGTATTAGTTATTGGCACAGCACTAATTATCATAAAATTTCTGGCGGGAGTTGTTACAGTTAACACTAGTGATATTTTCTGACAATTGGGGAATTATGTTGAAAGAAGTAAAGTTGCTGAATATTATAATTAACTAATATTGAATTACTGATATTTTTGTCACTGATGATAAATACTGATTTTCAATATTGTCAATAAAAGTTAGTATTTTATCAATATTCTAGATAAATAACAAATATATCACACATTAGTTTCAGTTTGATATATAAATAACAGCATTATCAATAATTTTTGATAATTATCAAAAGTTCTTTATTATTGATATACTGAAAGCAGCTCTATCTGTATATCAAGCTCAATATTGATATCAAAATTTTGATTCAGCACAGCCCTAATCATGTCATATTTAGTAGAAAACTGTTCAAATTTAGTAAGAAGTGGAGTTTTAACTAGTAGGAAGCTTGTCTATGACTTGACAACAGCACTAATAATACCAAGAGTTGACTAGTGTCAGATTACTGAATGAGTATCAAAATAGCAAACAGCTGGATTACCAAACTTGCACTGTATTACTAATCTTGTATATTATTTTCATTTTAGGATTAGAATAAAATGAATATTTAATATTTGAAGTAATATGAAGCTATTTCTGTAGTCTGATACATTCTATTTGAAAATAAAAATTATGATTCAAAATAAAATTGCAATTTATGTTTTTATCAATATGAAACATGATGTGAAATCATAGTAGAATTTGTAATTGCAAAATAAAAGAAAACTTAAATATTCATATAAATTTAAAATTTTGTAGTTGCCATAAAGTACCAAAGTATTCATGTTAGTTTTATATATATTTATATATATATATTTTTTTTTTCTTTTTGTTTTTATTGGGGCTAATTTTTATAAGATTGCAATAAATTTAATACAGCATTGTTTAAAAGTATCATTGATTTTAAAAGTAATTTACATTTCATATGAAATCTTAAATTTTTATGTTAGGTACTTACCAAAATTCTCCATCCTCTTCAAAAGTTAATCCTATTCTTTGTCTTTCACTTTCAGATATTTTTGACCATTCTGGTGAACTAGAAAGAAGTTTGGTCAATTTTGATGAACTATAACACCAGCTGCAATAAAGTTGAAGACAGACAAAAAGAAGAAAATTCAAAGTCTGAAGGCAATGAAATTACTTACATTTTTGAACCAGGAAAGCAATAGATGTTAAAGAGATATATTATTTGTTAACAAGATAAATACTTAATGTATAAAAATTTAAATTATAGAAAACATCTTAAACTATTAGATCAAGTCATTTCGTGCACTTTATCTTTATTTTTTTATAATAAATAATTTAAATCTTATAAAAAAAAATAGTCTTTAAGAAAATGTTCTATCGCTAATCTGTCTAATTATTTAATAAACAGTCATTAAAAGCTTTGAAGCATACAAAAAATAAAATACCCAGTATGTATATTTAATCATACTAAAAATTGCTAACCAAAAATGGACATCAGCTGTATCAAAATACTAAATGCAAAATTTTCACAATTTGATGTAGAAAGGTTTGGTGAAAATGAGACATTTGCATTCAGTTTTTGCAACATTGTTAAAATAACTTTATTTTGACACTAATAAATTCATTAACCTTTACATTATATTATTTATATTGCTTATTTTTCAGAAATATTACCAATAAAAAGTTTAGATTTTTGCATTCTATATTTCTCTTACTATAAAATATGAAAGAAAACAGCATAAAGTAAAGTTTCTTTTTTACATAAAGGAAAAGTCTTTTATTACACCATATATAAATTACTATCCTTCTTTCTTAATCTTTCAAAAAGTGTCCAAAAAATGTTAAAAACTACAAGATCAACAATAACTTATTTTTGGTACATCAAAAGAAAGATCTAAATCATCAAAAGGTAGAGAGATTAAATGAAACAAAATTAAGATACATTGAAAAACTTTATAACATCAATAGATTTTAATATTTTAGTGGCATTTTTCATATAAAAACAAAATATAAAAAATAATTCTATAAAATAACATTTAAGTTTTTGGTATGTAAATCTTCCTCTAAAGGAAATAATTTATAATTCCTGAATTCAGTGTCTATTAAATTGAAATCTCAAAATTGTATGCTTGAATATAAATTTTATTATTGGTGTATATCTCAGTTTAAAATATTTGAAAAACAATTACTATTAACAGATAAAGTATTCTTCATTTACCAATCTGATATTCTAACACATTAAATACATTGTGATTAAAAGCATAACTGAATATAAAAATATTCTCAAATTTATTAAATGTTAAAATTTATAAAAAGTAATCCAAAAAGTTTTTCCAGTGACCTTATTGTTCTCAGGACATACTAACAAACTTTCAAAAACAATACAAAAACTGAGTAACTTAAATTCTCAAGTATAAGGTGGATGGGCATTTTACATTCTTCAGTTTCACTCAAATAGTTTCTTTTCTGAAGCCTAGTGATGTTTGTTTGTTCTTCATAAGAGTAGCTTGTATTAAAATCTTTAGGAATTAGAAGTCAAAGTAAATCCATCATGAATCATCATGAAATGTACGATGAGTTTTCTAGATCACAGTGAATTAATGATATACTTTGCATTCTTCTGTATACTTTTCATACATTTAGTTTTTATTAGATATTTTTCAAAATATAGCAAAACATGGGTTTAATGGACACTAGATTTAGCAGACACAGCTACTTAATAGACAAAATACATTGATCAATAGTCTAATACTGTGCCAAGACTATTTTTACTTTGATTAAATAATTACTGCATTTTGTAGGCAATGTGGTTATTTCTAATTTCTTCTTATAACTTTTTTTTACAAAATAAAATCAACTTACATAAATTTTAAAAAACTGAAAGTTATAGTAAAATGTGAACATTTTTTAACAAATAAAATATTTGTCTTAAGAGAATCTGCTAAATCTAAGTTCTATTGTGAATATTAACATAATCTGCAGTACCACTTTTTATTCAAAATATTTACCTGTAATAGCCACTGTAATTATTTTATCTGTCAAAATAAAACATTTTACATTCACAAAAAACTTCAACATTGCAAAAATTTTTACGCATATAAACTATGATGATGAAAAAAAAAACCCTCTAAATCATTACTAGAATGGGACAACAGTAAGCAAGTTTTTATACTATAAAAAAACTGATATCACTATTTCATTTAAATTGTAAAATTGTTTTTAAATTTTCACATTGTATATTTTCAATATAAATTTTAAGCTATATTAACTTAACATAATTCTTTAAATCTATCAAAATGCATACCATTAAAAGCAAATTCCAAAATTTGAAAGTTACAATTTTTACAAATTTTTACAGATGTTTATTTAAAGTTTAAAAAATATAGAAATAAAAAGGAGACTTTTTTGTAATTTACATTATGTAGTGATAAGTTAAAAATAATATATATNTGATAGGAAACTGTCAAATGGATGAAATTATAAGGTGAGTCACAACAAGGCTTGTAAGTATCAATAATTTGGCCAAATCGTCTGGTTCTTGACAGCTGGATATATGATCCGACTCCATGATATACATAACAAGTTGGGAAGTAAAAAGGAGTCTGAGGATTTTTTGATGACTCCGACTAAAACACCAAAACTCCACGACTCCGACTCCACAGCCCTGCAAATTATATTTAGTAAAAAATTCTATTCATACCCATCACTAAATGGACCAGTCCATTCATGCCCTCCCCAAGGATTTCTTAAACGGACCATAAAAATTTTCTCTCTTCCTTTGAAAAAAGATATTAAACCAGTGTCTCCAATATATACTGATTTAACTGCAGTAATGCCATAGGCATGACCTTTCACTAATCCGAATGAAGTACGTGTTTCCATTTCTTCTTTATTCTGAGCCTATTGAAGAGATTATAAAATGAAATCTTGTAAACAAGATTTAATTAAATATAGTTGATAAGCAAACTTACATTAATTGCACAACACATTAATGAATGCTTTTCAATTTCTGCCATCATTGTTTTAAATAATTTTTTTTGTTTATCCAAATCAGAATTATACATTCCTTTTTGTAAATTAATTTGTTCAGAAATACCTCCTGTGAAATCTACTAATGCATCTGACAAATTTCCACCTTCAAGGGCTTCATAACTACCCATCAACCTGAAAAAAATATTTTTGAATATAAATAATTTTTGTTAATTTTTATTTACTAGGGTAATCCCAAAAGTAAGATCTCCTATTGCTTTTTAAATACAAAGAAACATTTATTATAATAATGTTCATATCATTGTAAAGCTTGAACATTTATCTATCAGGTCAGTCCATAAGTTCGTGCATATTTTTTGACCTTGAGAAAAATCTTGTTTTGCTGTTAAAAATGCCAGTCTAATGTGATACTTTTTACACTGAAGTGTTAAATTGGATCTCATTCATATAATATGTTCAGAATTGGGAACATTTCAGTTGTTTATTTTCGTTAAAATGGAAGTAACAAATGAATATAAGAGACATGTTTTATACTTTTTATTTTTAAGTGATGAGAATGCTACAAATGCAGCCAAAAAATTAAATACTGTTCATAATCAAACTGTAATAAGTGTAAAGACTGCACAGAAGTGGTTTGAAAGATTTAGAAATAATGATTTTAGTGTGGAGGATAAGGCTCGTACTGGAAGACCCACTGACTTTGATGATGATGCTCTCTCTGCACTAGTTGAAGCAGAACCATCTTTAACAGTTGATGAAATTGCGGAACGTTTAAATTCATCCCATGGAACTGTTCATAGACATCTACAACAAATCGGAAAAGTTTCAAAGCTAGGAAAATGGATACCACATGAACTGTCAATAGCTAACTGACAACAACGTCAACTGCTCAACTCAAAAGCTTCAACTGGGAAATTTTACCTCATCCACCATATTTGCCAGATATTGCTCCCAGTGATTATCATCTTTTTCGGAGTTTGCAGAATTTTTTAAAAGGAAAAACTTTTGAGGATGAGAACAATGTAAAAAAGGCTATTTCTGAATTTCGGTTTTGAATATTTTGATTCAAACCTGAAATCATTTTACAAAGACCGGATTAAAAAGCTACCATCAAGATGGCAAGAAATTGTACAAAATAATGGTGAATACATTATAGATTGAAATAAAATTTAGTTAAAATTTTTTGTTGCTTTTTTTGTAGATAAAAATGTGCACGAACTTATGGACTGACCTGATAGTTTCTACATAATTGCCATTTTGGTCAATGCATTTTTGTATGTCCATGTTATACTGGTTCACCGCCATGTTGTGTTAAACTGATTGAAATTCATCGCCAATTTATGGAAGCATATAGCGAGTCATATATAGGTGTCAAAAATGTCCTCAAGTGGTGTAGGGAGTTTGCAGTTGATTGCACTAAATTCATGACAAAGAAAGAAGCAGGAGACCGTCAATTTCCAATGAGACAGTCGCAAAGGTTGAGCAAACCATGTATGAAGATCAGCAAATCACTCTGAATGATCTCTGCATTTTGGTTCTTAATGTTTCCCAAAGCACCATTCATAGGATTTTAATGGAAAAGTTGCAGTATCAGAAGGTGTGAGCAAGATGGGTCCTGTGACATGGCAGCAAGCTGGTATGACATGAACATACAAAAACTGTCACAGCACCTACAAAACTACTAAATGTGGAATTCATGCATGACTAAAAATGAACATTGTGTCATTTGACTGCAACCAGAGGTAATGGTTTCCAGACAACATGAAACCTAAATATTGTAACTGGCATTAGAACCTTTCTTTAAATTTTTTTTTTGTTTTGTTTTATTTGATTGATGATGGATTTCTCCAACTAGCTGACATAATAAATAAATGGATTTTTGATAAATTAATTCTTAAAAAAATTATAGTCCAATGCTATATAAAAATTTTAACCTTTCTAGCAAAACTTTAAAAATATAACAATCATAAAGAATGGTACATTTGTGATAAAAACTAAAAATCAGATTGATTCTAGTCATGAAATATCACAATTAAAAAAAAATACTTAACACAACACTTGAGTTATTGGATCAACCATTCAAGAAAGCATTTCTAGTAGCTTATTTACCCATTCAGTTAAGTGTTTGAGTTCCTGGACAACAACACCAACAGGTTTACATTGACAACAATTTTACTTAATAAGACCATAGAAATATATAGATAGTTTATTATAGGACACCAATAAACCAATGCACAAAATCTTTATTTTTAGCCAAATCTCAAAACTTTTTAACTCTATATCCAAATTATTTTTCCCCAACTAATTCAAGTTAACCAGGTTCCACTATATTGATATAATTAAGTATTCAATTTTATTGTGCTTGTTTTATACCTTCCATGTATTTTAGTGATGACTTGCTTTGTTCTGTTAATTCTGAAATTTTAATACACTTATGATATAAACAATATAAAGTAGGAAAATAATGTGGAAAAAATAAACATTAACTTTTAGAATATGATATAAAAAGCTTTCATATCATAAGAAGAGAGACCTGATATTTGATACAAATTATCAGGGCTGTGGAGTTGCATAAAAATCTACTGACTCCAACTCCGACTTTTCCTTACCATCCGACTCCGGATACATAATATGATATACGGATATATGATCCGACTCCATGATATACATAACAAGTTGGTAAGTAAAAGTGAGTCGGAGGATTTTTTGATGACTCCGACTAAAACACCAAAACTCCACGACTCCGACTCCACAGCCCTGCAAATTATATTTAGTAAAAAATTCTATTCATAAATTAGCTGCACCTGCAACTATGTCACAAGGTACAGTACTTAGTACTTTTGAGTAAAATTATATCATTGCATTAACTGAAAAAATAAAATTTAATTATTAGACAATACTTCTAAGAATGAAAATAAATTACTAGTATAGGAAACAATGTTTTATACACTTAAATATGAAAATTAATAATTGTCAGTGAAAATTAAAAAAATATAAACAAACAAAAGTTGCTTTTCTGCAAATCCATTGCTGAGACCATTAAGCAGAGAAATTGATTTATGACTGACTATAAAAAGGAATGGTGTCAAATCATCCAGTCTTTGTAGAAAAGAGAGAAAAGCAAATGTTTATGACAAAACAAGTTCTTAGAACTAGATTTAGATTGTTTGCCCAGAACATAGAAAAAAAATAAATAAATTGAATTAATAAAATCATAAATATTGTTGAGATTTCTTACAATTAAATTATAAAACACATACAATCGTCAAAGAAAACTATTCTTGTTAAAATGTATTTTTCAAAAGACTCAAGGTCTCTTAGTAATAAAAATATGCAAATGTAAAAATTAGCATTTTTAAATCAGCATGAAAACAAAGCCAGCATGTGAACAGTTAAAAATAAAAAAACTTATTGGAAATAAATACTTCTTGACACATAACTTAAAAATACAACCTACTTAATTACATAGTAATTAAATTTTTAAAATAAAATTTTAGTAAAGAAATTTTGAATAATTTTTAAATTTTTTTTAATCATTTCATATTTAAATAAAACAACATACTTTGCATAAGCTTTCTCTAGTAGAGGACCCCAAAATTCATTTTTTTCATGTGAATGAGTATATATCAATTGACCATTTACAGTTGGAAGGCGATCATCAATTACAACTTCTATCCAATCACCAAACTGCCAAAAACGAAATTTAAAAATTCCTGTATAGCAATGTGGATTTGTAAAGCATTGCTCTTGCTCTCTGTAATCAGGAATTACCTGAAAAGATTACAATAGAATGTAACTTAAATTCTTTTGGTAAAATTTACATTATTGTGATTTTAATATTCCTATATTTAAATAATGTATTCTTACTTTATGCCATGCTTCCTTCTCTTGTGCTAATGAAGAGCAGGCAGCTATGAACCAACAATTGCCAAGTGAACCTTGAACAACATCACAGCTAGTAATTCCATCTACAAATAGTCTTGGTGTAGAACATAGTTCCTGTATATAAAAGTTTTAAAAATACACGAGTAATAAATTCTGAGTATCAACACTCAAAATTAATATGAAAATATGAAATAGATGGATAAATAAAGTAGAACTCTCTAAATTAATCTGAAGCAAAAGAACAAAACAAAATTCAAAAATTAGCATTAAATAAACAAGATTATATGTTAAAAATATAAATATAATTGTGTATTTTGGAATATTTAAAGCTTCTAATTAGCTAAAAATAACTCTTACTTTCAACCGGAGTGTATGTATAATAGTTCAGCTAAAGTTTTTGACGCCCCTTCTGGGCTCTTCCTCAGGCTTTTTTTGATAAATATTGAGCTGGCCGTTGAAAATCGAACACTTTCTTTTGATTCGTTTACTTTTCAAATCATCGCCCGTGGTAACATTCAAGCCAATTTAAAACAAAAAAGAGAAAGCAAAGAGCGATGTTTTGTGTACAGCGCATGACAGCTTCCAATTAGCTTCTAATTTAGAACTAGAATTCAAAATACAAATAATAAATATGGAACCATTAATTGTGTGTTAAGATATTTTACTAATCAAATGTTTTCGGTTCTTTTCATTGACCTTCATCAGGAAATACATACATTAATTTGAACTGAAAGAGAGAACAAAGCTGCCCATATTCTAAAAATGGTTTTTACAACATCCATTTTGGAAATAATACAAATTTTAAATTTTAATGCACATGTCAGTTATTTTACATATAACATAAAACCATATATGTGACAAAATCAAAACTATATAAAACATCTATTACCCATAGTAAAAACAAAAACACTCTAAATTATACTTTACATATTTTTACTCTTGCACCCAGATTCTATAACAATAGAATGGGATCAAGCAGAAATAATCCAAAAGGCTCAGCATAATCAACAGATAAAATATGCAGAAGTATTGCACATTCATATGGCTACACATGGGACAGGCAGTAAATTATAGAGAAAACACACCACAGTTTCACTAGTCTGGAAAGTATTGATAAATAAAATTTAAGAGAGAACTATGCTAAATGATGAACAGTAGTTAGATTGCACTGTATTGATTAATTCAGCAAGTATGAGAGTAAAAATATGAAAACTATAATTTTGTGAGATTTCAATCCATTTCCACTTTTGTTTTGATCGGTGTTTCTGTGGATTTTTAATTAATTATTTAAAGCAGTGTTTTTCAACCTTTTTGAATATGCGACCCCTTTACAAGTTAAAAAATTCTGGCGACCCCCCTAGGGCCATATTAAAACTATATCAATGATTTAAAAAATTATGTATTTAATTTTCTTTCTGTTGAGAGAAATTACTGTTGATGACTAAAATGAGAATTTAAGGAGAATCGACAATAACTTAAAACACATATAGTATGTTACTTCCTTCTTATAATAACAATGGGTTTGGAGTGCTGTTGACCTTTTTTTTCAGGATGAGGGTTTTTCACTTCTACTTCTTACTTCTTTTTGCAAGTCAGCTCAACACTTTTTCAGCAATCATCTTCTGGGATGGGGCCCTCCCAGGCGACACCCATCATTCGGACCTAAATGTCAATCAAAAAACCAACTGTATTGTATAATAAACAGGTACAGTCTTCTTGCTGAAATTGTAGTTTTTTTAATGTAGTGTAAGACCTACAAACACTTGTCTTTTTCTTTTACCCGCGACCCCCTAGGTTGAAAAACCAGGGGGTCGCGACCCACAGGTTGAAAAACACTGATTTAAAGTAATAAGACAACAGAGCAGAGGGCAACGGAAAGGTCAAGCAGTGGAAAAATGACAAAGTGGAAAACACCCCACTTCCTTTTTTCTCTCCTGCTCACAGTACTCTAATAGAAAAAACTGATCAAATATCCCTCTGAATCAACAATCATTACAATGTTTTGAATGAGTTCCAGGAATAAATCCAAACATATAATTATTAATGATAGGAAACTGTCAAATGGATGAAATTATAAGGTGAGTCACAACAAGGCTTGTAAGTATCAATAATTTGGCCAAATCGTCTGGTTCTTGACAGCTCATATCCGCCGAATCAGGACATGGCTCAAACTTAGACCACATTAAATCAAAGTCACCTGAGTCTATTCCCAAGCACAACACACATAAAAAAAGGGCTTACACCCGAGCATTGGGGCAGACATCAACAGTAGACATAAGTGGACCTGTCCCGCCATAATTGAGGCGGACATTCTCCAAGAAGTGAAAGGCCCAGCTTGCCACCCAACTCTTGTCTTCCCTACAAAATCTGACAACAGCCCAACATTACCTCGACTAGATCCACAATCAGTTTGTGACCGTTCAATAAACAGGATCATGAGACATCACCACTCTCTCTGAGGTATTTTACATAGAATTGTAAACTCTCTCTCTTGGTCAATTAGCCTGTAGGACGTAGATGTAAAGCTTTAATGTTTATCCAATACAGTCGTATGGACTAAATAGAAATAATACTAGCACATAGAAATAGTCCCAGACCTTATGTTATCTACAAAAGGTAGACTAACCTGTAGTGTATTAGCTTACTATATCATATGCTTTTGTGTTAAGTTCATTAAATTGTTATTTTTGTTGTTTAATTTGCTCTTGTGTGGACTTATTAGGTACCAATACCCTATCAATGGACTTATCGCCTGTTGGTCACTCGAATCCCGCCATCCAGTGACAGTGAGTGGGTTTTGCCAACACATGGCTGATCCAAGGGGTTTAGAGATTGCCTCTCTACCCCCCGTTTCTCACAATTTAGAGCTTTTGTTTTTACTATGGGTAATAGATGTTTTATATAGTTTTGATTTTGTCACATATCTTATGGTATTATGTTATATATAAAATAACTGATATGTGCATATTTAAATTTCTATTATTTCAAAAATGGATGTTGTAAAAACTATTTTAGAATATGGGTGGCTTTGTTCTTTCAGTTTAAATTATGGAATGTATGTATTTTCTGATGAAGGTCTATGAAAAAGACAAAGGACAAAAAACATTTGATTAGTAAAATATTTTAACATATAATTAATGGTTCCACATTTGTTGTTTTGATAGTGCAGTTACAGAAAGGATCAAAATACAAATTCAATTAAAATTAAACTTTATTTTTATAACTTTCTAAGCAAGAATTAAAATTTTGTTGTTGTGTGTTCTGTCTGATACCAAGTATATAGGTAAATGATTAAGGAGTTATTCATATTAACACTAGGACCTAAAGCAAATTAGTGCTGCAAAAGAAAGCAAAGTCTAGTCCTAGTTGATTATTGTTTCCAAGAGGTTTGATCAGAGATGTATCATCTGGAAATTCTTGTTGGTAAAAAATGACATTTTGAATGTATAATATTGGGAAAGGGTTAATAGTACGTATTGAATGGTAAGAAAGTATTACAAGTAGAACAGATTGGCTGTGGTTCTGCACTTAAAAATATAGATGTTTGTTAATTTTGTGTGGTTCATTCTCAGCTGAACAAGAATAAAACTTTTTAATGCTTCTTGACCTGATTTGTGTGTTAATCTTTATAAAACAGCCTATTTATTCTTAACAACAGAATTTGCTTTCAATATTTCTTTCAAATTAATGATAGAAAGTGGAAGGCATTCAATTTAAAGAAAATCATCTGGAAAATTACAATGTAAATTTTATAACTGATTTAATTGTTTTTAAATCTTGTCAGTTCTCTGATTATGAATTGTTTACAATTAAATTTTCATTACAATTTTTTAAAATTATGATTTACTTTACTTTTCAAAATCATCAGTAAATATGAAAGAATTTAAGTTTATCAAGTAGAAATTTCAAAATACATTCAATCTGTAAATCAGTCATCACAATAAATGGGTGTATTAAGATTCTTGGAAAAAAATCATCTCTTCAACCACAATCAATAAAATATGTACCCACATATTTGAAGAATTAAAATATTTCATAAACAATTACCTTTGGTCTCTTCCAAATGACACGACCAGGAAGACGTGAAGAATTTCCACTATAAAAGAGTGATACATTATCAGCAGGAAAAAGTGGATCACTGAAAGGAACACCAGTTGCTAAAGCCTCTTTCTTCAGCGAATAATAATTCTGTTTCTTGAAATTATGAGCTTTACTCATTTTTCTTGGATTGTATTTCTAAATATATAATAAAAACGTCAAATGTATATTTTTTATAAATTTAATGAGATACAATAATCTAAATTAATGATGATAAATTGCATCAATGAAAAAATGCTCAAAATTATTTAAGAATTTAATAATTTCAAGATTGCAAGTTCAGAAATGAGACTATTTAGTAAATAAATTTCATCAAATCAAATAACTCTTTTTAAATGTTTACAAGGATAATATTTATTGCCTTAAATAATAATATATATATCTGTATGTTTGGTAATATATTGTAAACAAAGGTAATAATGTTCAATATTTCTTCGATTCTAAGATGTACCATAATTTTAATAGTTGCAGTTTTTTTTCAAGTTACAAATGCTCTAAAATAGGTTAAATTCAGCAATTCTACTTCTATGCACTTCTGTATATTCAATTTTTTATTGTAATTCTTCAACACAATGTCATATTAAGTTATTTTAAGCACTAAAAAAGAGATTTAAGTTAAAGCCAAACAATTGCCAAATTATATTAAGCTATACTACTATTAAGTAAATGCTAAGTAATTTGGCACTAGAGGTAGGCATTAGGCACCATCTCTTGCTAAATTTAATAATTATAATTAAATTAATATTTTAATAATTTAATTTAGAAGGTTCTACAAGAAAAGAATTGGCCTGAAGAAGGACTCAAACCTGCAATGCCTTCTTACTGTGGACTCCTCCATATCCATTGATGATTGAACTGTTGATGAAATGAAAATTAAGTTTATTTTTTGTAAATTTAATTAATTAATTTAGAAGGTTCTACAAGAAAAGAATTGGCCCAAAATGGGATTTGAACCCATAACTCCAACTTATTGTGAGATTGCCTTTCCAGTTACATTATCCAGACCTTAGTCTGAAATTCACTTCCAGAACCTATTAATTTAGATACAACCATACTCAGTTACTTACACTTAACACCTATCTCTAGTGCCAAATTACTTAGAATTTAATTAAAAATAGTAGTAGTAATAAAGCCAGATATAATCTGGCATTCATTTGGCTTTAATAAATAACTATTGGGTTTTGGATATTTATATTTGTAAATATATAGATGTTTTTCTCAACTTACAGCCATAAGAATTTTGCTGATGCTATCTGTTTCCCTTGTATCAGTGGAATGGAACTTTTCTTGCCTGAAGGTCAAAGAATTATCTATAAGTAAATCCAAAGGAGTGCTTAATGGATATGACAATTAATTCTATAGAAAGTGAAACTGCAGAAAAGATTAATGTTAGACCTTATGCTTTATTTTTTTAATATTAATATTACATTGTTTTTGTGTCTATTGTAATGTGACTTTAAATTTTTGATAAAAAAAATAAGGAATGTATATATTTTAAACTTATAAGATTAGAATGCATTTTTTAAAAAACATTCAATGTATTTCAAAAAGTGTTTGAGTCCAAGAAAAAAAGAATAAAAAATGATTGAGTGTTCCAAATCATTAAATTTGGTTTAAGTGTTCCAAAACTCCATTAGCATTCCTTTAGTTAATTTCAAAGAAACTCAATTTAAGTGTAGTTTTTTTTAACCTTGTGATTCCCTAAGATTTAAGGCACTAAACAATTGATATAAATGACTGATTCAAAAACCCTTGGCAGCTATAAAAGCCAGAAAAGTTAAATTTATATAATTTAGATAGTCATTGAAAATAAATCACAGCTATATATAGTGATTTATTTTCAACAATAGGTTAGAAAATAAAATGGCTTAAGGTTTTAAAATGTTTAAAATTATTTTTCAGAGAAAGGATTCAGATTAATCTTGGTGGCCTCAACTTAAAAATTGTCTGGCCAAATTTTAGCTAAAACTGCTCTTTACTACTACTACTGTTTCTAATCTCTCTCATCACTCCCTTCTTATATGTTTTAACTTTGTAGACAATACAACAAAGTTTGGTTGTTTTGGAATATCTTTTGAAGATTAAATTCTATTGAAAACAAAAATTCAATGTTTCTATCCCTGAAAGTAAACTTGTGCTTGCAATTTTAATGCTAAAGTTTATTTACCAGATATTACAATAAAACAGTTTTGTTGTTTTTTAGAATATAAGACTGTTACTACAATAATAGTAGTAATAATATAGTATGATATAATTCAGCAATTGTTTGGATTCACCTTGCTTCTGTCATCTTCAGACATGTTTGCAATTCCCAAAAACATCCATAATTATATTTTAAAATGGGTATACCTAATCTGCTACTATTGCTCTCAAATTTGAGGGAAAGACCTACCTGCAGGACTGAGGTGTACCAATGGAAAGCCCCATGTCAGGACCTGTGTGAACTGTTATAAGGACCCTGGAAGAAACCATCCTGCTTTCATAAGATCAACAAATAGTCTTGTACACCAGGCATGTCGTGGTATTCTTATAATCTGGTGCAAGAAACCAAACTTTCAAAAGTTTTAAAAAGACATTAATAACAATCTGTATGTTCTCTTCTTCCAACTTGAGCAAGCAATCACATTGCTAATTCTTAGACTTTATTTTAGGTGTTTGCATCAACACAATTTACTAAACTAATTTTGCAATTTCTTAGACATTCAATACACTCCCATGATGAACAGATTTCCACTAAGCACTACAGAAAACCCAACTACTATCCATTGTTCATACCAAGAGATCTCAGGACTTGTACTGCTTTAAAATTGCATCCTTTGTCTCCATGGTTAAAAGAGCATTCACACACAGCTAGCATAATGGACAGAGATGAATTTTAATATATTAAAAAATGTTGCAGCTGAACATGGATACCCAATCAGTACAGTTTCTGGTTAATCAGGAAATATGGTGACTTGCATTTCAATAAACAACAGAATAGTAATAAGTTCAAAATCATTAGGTACAATCATGCTTTAAAAAATTACAAAAAGATTGCTTGCACCAACGACTTTTGTTTGTGGTATAAAAGAAATAGTATAACTTACAGCCTCATTAGCAATGGTTAAAGATCCAGACAACCAACATCTCCCAGGGATGTATAGTTTTCCAAAGATCTAAATCCATGTTGAATCTGAATACATTGATGCCACCTCCTGTTCTCTTTCCATGAAGATTAATTAAAGAACATGAGTTAACAATAAAAAAAAAACGTATGCAGCTACTGTCTTAGCATATGTGATGGAGAATGACATTGAGGTCAATATGCAGGAGGCAAAGATCTTTAAACCAACCCTATACATGTAGCCAACCTAAAGTGCCTGGAGCTGGAGTGGTTGGAGATTTATGTCATCCCTAAAAGTCAAATCCATCAATTATAATGTCATTGCAGCTAACTGTACTGTACATCTAAAAAAATTTTTACAAGATTTTGTAGCATATGACAAGACTCACCCCTTCACCATTATATGTTGGGTTGTTAATATTTTATATCAACTGTGTTATAAAATTATACCTTTATAATGTTTCCACAGTTTTTAAAAATCTCTTAAGAAAAGAGTAACACCATGTTATTTTTAACCAACCAGTTATGTTCCAAAATGTTTTTAAATAAGTTTTCCAATTTGCATGATCTTATTCAAATAGGCTGATTATTTAAACAAGATATTTCTTATTTAAATAGGCTGAGCATTTAAACAAGACAAATGTCTTGTTTAAATGCTGAAGTGTAAAGATGTCTTACATATTTGCTTTTATCACTTCTTCCAGCTAGTTATAACACAGAACCTCGTGTTTTCCCCATATCATTAGCAACTAGCAAAGTCAAATTTTCAATCATGACAACCTCAACAAACTAGTATCAATTATTATTATTTTTTTTTTTGAGTTTAAATATAATTTTTTTCATAAATTTCAAAACACACACATAATAAGAATTTATGCACTACTTTTCTAAGTTGGCACTTACTGTAAACAAACATCTTGTAGGTTGCAGGTAATGTTAAGATTTCATTTTTATAGCCATATAGCATGCAAGCAACAAAAAAAATTTACTTTTTATGTAAGTGAGGTATTTAAGTGTTATCTTGTATTTTATAAAAATGTGTGCTCTGAAGTTTGAACAGGTTTCATTACAACCAGAAGAGCTGATTAAGTATTCTTAATTTCTAATCCTGCATGGAGAAATAATATTAAATATAGTATAAGAACATAAATAAACTACTATCTTTGATTCTGTTTTGAGTAAATTTGTTAAAGGACGTCTGTATTACATGCAACTTAGAAAAATCATCAACTTTTGCCTTCATTAAATTATTTGATTTTTTTAATGTGTTATGGTATACTTATTTGACTAATACATAATGAAGTAACTCTTGCCAATGTGCAGGAGTTTGCAAGATATCAATGTTAGAATTTTCTATTTTAGTTACCATATATCTGCACAGATAAGACAACCTTCAGATAACACAAGGTATAAATTTTCATCAAAGTTTTATAGTTTTAGCATATATCTGTCCTATAAGACGACCCCCAAACAATCAATGGCCTATGAATTTAGTTTAGATCAGCAATCATCATCTGGATAATAATACTGTATAGTGTATACAGAATTATGTCCTATTTGTAATTTTTCAAATGAACAAATTTTATTTTATTGCATCTGGCAGCACTGCAAACATTTGAACTGATTCAAGCATTCGTGTAATGATCTTGACTATTCACAAAAATGTCATATGGGCTATTCTATTTTGTGGACATACCCTACTCTCTAATAGTAAATAATTATGGTTTGTCCGTTTTTTATAGTGGTTTTAATTTATATAAATTTCAATCTAACTTTTTTGTAATTGTCCTATAAGACAACCCTGGATTTTGGGGGTCTTTTTTTATGATTCAATTATTGTCTTATCTGCACAGATATATGGTACATATTAAGTTTGTAAAAACAAATTGTAGACTTGCATAGTCAAATAAATAAGATAGGTGGTTGGCAAGCTGAACATTGCAGCTTCATGCCTGTCTTCTTTCCCCCTTTCTTTTAAAGCAATTTTTTCCTGTAATATGCAATCATGTGAATTATTATATACAATATATTAAGCAAAAAATAACACTTTTTAATTCTAAATAAATTTAACATACTTTTAAACCAACAACTATAAGCAACATACCTCTCTGCTATTAAATGGAAAAATAAAAATTGTTCTGACTTTATCCATAACAAGAAAGTTGTTGACCTGTCCTCATTTCAAAGAAAATGTAAATGCAATCTAATTTTAAATGGCATATCCCAAAGACCAGGACCTTCTTCCTATCTAACTTGTAAACTGTAAACAAAGTAAATAAGCACAACACACAAACCAATATCCAGCAAGAAACTACAAAAATCCACATAGAAGCAAACATTTGCTTTTGTGTATATTTTTGTAGTTTCTTGCTAGATATTGGTTTTATGTGCAGTGCTTATTTACATATACCCAGTTTGAGTCATTGAGTGTAAACAAAGTAATTTCATGAGTGTGCTAATTGTAGTAGCTGCACACCAGAGTTACCAAAATGATCATAAAACAATTCACACCTTACATCTTAAGACCACTGTTACTTCAGATTTTCAACTGTAATGTAGAAAGCATCATTGTAAAGAAATGGAAAACCAAACAAGTATTTTATTGTGACATCGTCACAATGCTGGGCTCCAATTTTAAATTAAATAAATTAAAAATATATGTTCTCTATCTCAAATTAGTAGTGTCTTGCCCCTGTACATCATACTTTTCCTGCTGGCAATAGAGTTGTGCAAGTCATCTGTCTAACTCCTTCCAGGGGAAAATTTTTGAATTGAAATAACATGATTTCCAGTGCAAACTAGAAGTTCGTATATAGTTAATCAGGATCTTCTGCCCTTAAGCTTTTCATATCTAGTCTCAATTTTCATCTATCTAACTCCATTCTCAATATTAAGGAACGATAGACAAACATATGGACAACAGTGGGAATTTATAGGACTAATTTTTTCAAATTGCAGCCCAATCAGTGAGAAAACAGAAGGCACAATTACAATTGCAGGGACAAGTATTTTGAATTTGGAGAATGCTAAATAGAAGTAGAAGGATAAGCTTACAAATGCTTTAATTCATTGTAAAAATATGATGTAAAGTGAAAATATGATTAGTAGCTCACCTCCAGATTAAATATGATCTGTTTTTACTGCTTCAGGAAAGAAAATTTTTGAAGAAATTTTGTATAAGCTAGTGGATATAAAAATTATCACAGATGAAGATCTCATTGCTTTTAGCAAAACTGATGAAAATATTTCATTTTCATCAGTTGATATAAATGAAATATTATTTTGATGTTTTTGCC